TGGAGGGGAACTGACACCCTGCAGTTACCCCTGACCCTGCCCTCCACGGCTGTTGGCACATCTTCTCCAGAACCCAGGGCTCTCAGCCCCTCCATATTGCCCGCATCCGGCCACCGGCCTCGCCCCGCCGCAGCCCCGAAGGTCTTCCCGCTGCTATCCTTGCCCGCTGGGCTGTTCTCAGCGTGGTCGCCGGATGGATGTCCTTTGAGCTCATTCGGTCCCGTCCCTCCCCTGCGGGAGGTTCTCCAAGGTCTCGCCCTTGCTGAGGGTCGAAGCTCAGGTCCTTCCACAGGTCCGTGGGGCCCCGGGCCAAACGGGTCAACCCCTGACCCCTCTCCCAGCCCCTGGTTCCCCTCCAGCCCCGGGGCCTTGCGGGGCCCTCCCTGCGTCTCAGGGCTCCGAGGTCCTGGCGCCTCCTTGGATCTGGACTTGGGTGTGGACCTCCCCGTCCGCCCTACTCGCTGGAGCCGGTCTCCACGGGGCTGGGGGCGGAGGCTCTGGAATGGCCGGGAACGCGCTCCGGGCGGGCAGCGGCTTCGCTCGGTAGCTTCCGTAACTCCGGGCCGTGCCCAATGCTTAGTTTTCTGTGAATGAATCAATGTCAAGCGGAAACTTCCATCAGACTTTGAACGAGGCCCCGAACGTTTGCGATGCTGGGGACGCGCCCGTCAACCCGCCAAGCCGCCCTGTGCCTGAGGCGGCGACCGGGCCGCCCGCGGGGGACGGGCCCTGCCGGGTGTCGGGACGCGAACACGACCCAGTGCCAAGAAGGGGCGGTGAAGAAGAAGGGAAAAGCCCCACGCAGCGGCGGGACGGCGCACCCGTGCACACGCGCATCCCCAGCCCGCGTCCCGGGGAAAGAAGACGGAAGAAGATAAAACAAAGAAACGCGCCGGGCTTTGCGGTGGCTCACGCCTGTAATCCCTGCACGTTGGGAGGCCGAGGGCGGGCGGATCACCTGAGGTCAGGAGTTCAAGACCAGCCTTGGCCAACATGGCGGAAACCCCGTCTCTGCTAAAAATACAAAAAATGAGCCGGGCGTGGTGGCGCGCGCCTATAATCCCAGCTACTCTGGAGGCTGAGGCAGGAGAATCGCTGGAATCCAGGAGGTGCAGGTTGTAGCGAGCCGAGATCGCGCCGTTGCACTCCTGTCTGGGCGATAGCGTAAGACTCCGTTTGAAGAAAAACAGAAAAACCACAAAAAACGATGGTTAGATGCCACGAAGTAGGTGGCAATGCCTTAACCGTATGCGTGTTGTCAGGCCCGAGGGCCTCTTCCATCCTTGTCAAGGGGAGTGCTAACCTTCTCTCCTTTCATACAACACGCCCATAGCCGCGTGAGGCTCCGTATTTAAAGACCAAAATTGCAACCACGTTTCGATGAGGGCGACTTGTTATTCGCTCTCCATGGAGGTACATTTACAGAAATGCCAGGGTCCAGTGTGAAACCACAACTGTTCGCATTCAATCGTCTTTATTAGTTTGAACGTGTAAGAAATAAATCTACCATTTTTCGTGCCTTAATATATTCATAAAAGCAGCCAATTAGAAGCTGAGGGGAACAAACGGAAGTCCCGAGCGTCCTTCAGAGAAGTAGATTCCCCCGGAAACAAAACAGGGCGGGCGCGCACCTCCTGCGGGGACACGCTCAGCAGACGGCGGAAGGCGGGAAGGAACAGTCTACGGAAGTGGAAGGTTGGTAACGAATCACAGAACAAGGATCGGAAGATCCGCTCCACGGACTTCCGGACGCGGCCCTGCCAGGGGAACAGCGGGTGCTCTGGACGCTATGGGGCGCTCGACGCCACTGCGCATGCGCCGCGCCCCCTCCGCCACGTTCTCGCAAGCTCTGCGCGGTCTTGGGTGGAGAGTTCGAGCCTTAGCATGGCCGAGTGCCCTGGAGCCGGTTTCGGCTCTGGCGTTCGCACATGCCCTCGGCCTCCAGGTTACAACGTCAGTATTGGCGCCTCGGCGCGGTCCGGTCCTGTTCTCGTTCTCCGTTCCGTCGCCCCCCGGGCGGTTCTGGTGCCCCGCAGGCCGGGCCCCTCCCATCGCCTCGGTGGGCAGGGCCCTGCGAGGCTCGGGGACCGGGAACACGCGGCCTTCCTGACAAGGAGCCCGAGGGTCTGCACAGTCTGGGGCACCACCCGGCCTGGCGAGGATCATCGCTGTGCGCGCGATGCACTTGCGTCCTCAACACCTCTGCACATTCATGCACGTGTCCATACATGGTGCACACACGTCCTTACACGTATGTACATATGCATGTCTACACGCGCACGTCTACACGTGCACATGTCTGCACACGTGCACGTCTGCACACGCACACGTCTGCACATGAGTCACACTTGCAAGTGCACGCATGCATTGTGGACACACGTTTACACACCTGAATATGTGTATACACATGCAGACATATGTGCCTGCCCACATGGATGTGTGCACAAACAAGCACGGAGGTCCTCAGTGGCCCACTCCTGGTGGCCTTGTGCTGTGGGCTGTGAATGGCCATACTCATTTCTCAGAGCTTTTGGGATGTGTGTGTTTCCAGTTGCGCATATTAATTAGAAAAACCAAAGCTGAATTTGTAGGTTAAGGCAGGTTCTTAAGTTTCCTTAACTTCGTCTCCCTGGAGACCTGGTGGGCTGGGCTGGGCACTGCTGCAGGAGGCCAGCCCTGAGTCAGGTCTTCTCTAGAAGGTTCAGGGCAAGCCCTGGATTACAAATAGGAAACCAAGTGCATGAGGAAGGCACTGCTCACCCTGCAAAGACGGTCAAGGTGTAGGGCGGGGAGCAGCAGCCTGGAGGTCAGAGCCAGGACCTTGGGGGCTGGGAGTGGTGTGCCTGGCTGGTGATCTTTGGCAGCAGGAGGCCTGGTGTCACCCTGGGGCCCAGACTGTGAAGGACGGGTGGCTTTGGGGCTCTGTGAGTTCCAGGGGGGTCCAAGCATCTGCCCAGCCGGCGTTCTGTGCACTGCCCACCTGCCTGTGTTATCATGAGGATGGGGTTTGCTAAGATGCAGATTCTTGTCTCTTCCCTAGTCTGAGTCCAGTGTCTGTGGTCAGTCCCGGGAATCTGTATTCACTGAAGCCCTTTGGGTCCTGCCTGATATCATAGCAGCCTGTCTTTACTTTGGGTGGAGGTTTGAGGTCTGCACGTCACCTGCATCTCCTCGTGCATGCAGACCTCAAACCTCCACCCAAAGTAAAGACAGGCTGCTGCTGATATCAGGCAGGACCCAAGGGCTTCAGTGAATACAGATTCCGGGACGAAGCCACAGACACTGGACTCAGACTAGGGAAGAGGCAGAATGCATCTTAGCAACCCCATCCTCATGATAACACAGGCAGGTGGGCAGTGCACAAGAAACGCCGTGGGCCTGCTTGGACCCCCTGGAACTCACAGAGCCCAAAGCCACCGTCCTTCACAGTCTGGGCCCCAGAGGTGACACAGGCCTCCTGCTGCCAAAGATCACCAGCCAGGCACACCACTCCCAGCCCCAAGGTCCTGGCTCTGACCTCCCAGGCTGCTGCTCCCCATCCCTACACCTTGACCCCGTCTTTGCAGGGTGGTGGTGCCTCCTCATACACTTGGTTTCTAATGTTGCTAATCCAGGGCTTGCCTGAACCTTCTAGAGAAGACCTGACTCAGGGCTGGCCTCCTGCAGCAGTGCCCAGCCCAGCCACAGAGTCTCCAGGAAATGAAGTTAAGGAAACTTAAGGAGCTACCTTAACCTACAGGTAGCTGGTTTTCTAATTAATATACTGTACAGAAACACACACACACCCCAAGCTCTGAGAAATGAGTATGGCCATTCACAGCCCACAGCACAAGGCCACCAGGAGTGGGCCACTGAGGACCTCACGTGCTTGTTTTTACACATCCATGTAGGCAGGCACATATGTCTGCATGTGTATACACATATTCCAGGTGTGTAAACGTGTGTCCACAATGCATGCGTGTGTGTGCACTTTTAGAAGTGTGACTCATGTGCAGGCGTGTGCGTGTGCAGGCGTGCGATGTTGCGAACATGTGCACGTGTAGGCCGTCTTGGCGTGTAGACATGCACATATGTACATGCGTGCCAGGGCCGTGTGTGCACCATGTATGAACACGATGCATGAATGTGCAGAGGTGAGCGAGGACGAAAGTGCATCGCGCGCACAGCGATGATCCTCGCCAGGCCGGGTGGTGCCCCAGACTGTGCAGACCCTCAGCCCGTCAGGAAGGCCGCGTGTTCCCCGGTCCCCGAGCCTCGCAGGGCCCTGCCCACCGAGGCGATGGGAGGGGCCAGCCTGCAGGGGCCAGAACCGCCCGGGGGCGGCGGAGCGGAGAAGCGAGAACAGGGCGGACCGCGCCGAGGCGCTAATGCGACGTTGTAACCTGGAGGCCGAGGCGTGTGCAGACGCCAGAGCCGAAACCGGCTCCGGGAGCACTCCTGGCCATGCTAAGGCTCGAACTCTCCACCCAAGACCGCGCAGAGCTTGCGAGAACGTGGCGGAGGGCGCAGCACGCGCGCAGTGGCGTCGAGCGCCCCGCAGCGTCAGAGCACCGCTGTTGCCCCCTGGCAGGGGCCGCGTCCGGGAAGTCCGTGGAGCGGATCTTCCGATCCTTGTTCTCTGATTCGTTACCAACCTTCCCGCTTCCCGTAGACTGTTCGCCCGCCTTCCGCCATCTGCTGGGCGTGTCACCGCAGGAGGTGCGCCCGCCCTGTTTTTGTTTCCGGGAATCTACTTCTCTGAAGGACGCTCGGGACTTCCGTTATTCCCCTCAGCTTCTAATTGGCTGCTTTTATGAATATATTAAGGCACGAAAAATGGTAGATTTATTTCTTACACGTTCAAACTAATAAAGACGATTGAATGCGAACAGTTGTGGTTTCACACTGGACCTGGCATTTTCTGTAAATGTACCTCCATGGAGAGCGAATAACAAGTCGCCCTCATCGAAACGTGGTTACAATTTTGGTCTTTAAATACGGAGCCTCACGCGGCTATGGGCGTGTTGTATGAAAGGAGAGAAGGTTAGCACTCCTTGACAAGGGATGGAAAGGCCTCGGGCTGACACTTACCTTACGATTGACATTTGCCACCTACTTCGTGGCATCTAACCATCGTTTTTGTGGTTTCTGTTTTTCTTCGAAGCAGAGTCTTACGCTATCGCCCAGACAGGAGTGCAACGGCGCGATCTCGGCTCGCTACAACCTGCACCTCCTGGATTCCAGCGATTCTCCTGCCTCAGCCTCCAGAGTAGCTGGGATTACAGCGCGACGCCACCACGCCGGCTCATTTTTGTATTTTTAGCAGAGACGGGAGTTTCCTCCATAGTGGCCAAAGGCTGAGGTCTTGGGCTCCTGACCTCAGGTGATCAGCAATACGTAACCACACAGCACACACCACACACCACACAGCACACACCACACAGCACACAGGGAAAAACAGCAGCAAAAATTTACTACAAAATATGACGGAGTTGGTCCAATTGATTTTCTTTTTTACTTTTCTATTCCTCTAAGTTTTCTTTGTGTTTTCTTTTCTCTTTTTTTTTAAAGACAGAGTCTCACTCTCACTCTGTCGCCCAGGCTGGAATGCAGTGGCACAATCACAGCTCACTGCAGCCTCGACCTCCCAGGCTCAAGCCATCCTCCTGCCTCAGCCTCCAGAGTACCTGGGACCACAGACGCCACCACATTTGGCTCATTTTGTTTTATTTCAGTAGAGATGGGGTTTCATCATGTTACCCAGGGCGGTGTCGAATTCCTGGGCTCAAGGGATTTGCCCGCCTCTGCCTCCGAAAGTGCTGAGATTACAGGCATGAGCCCCCACGCCTGGCCTGTTCTTCTATATTTTGAGTAACGAATCCATTTCACTTTCCTGATGATGATAAAACACTAAACGTTACTGCTTTTCAACAATTCCTTGCAGAGCTGGGAAGGGAGCTGTGGTCGGTGCCCGGGAGTCCCGTCTGCAAAAACAGCAGCAGTTTCCTGAATGAGTAACTCCACCCCTGGCTGCAGCTCTCACCTAGAACCAGGGTGGTGACACCTGACCCCACCCACGGCCTCAGAGGGCAAAATTGGAGTGTGGCTGTGACCGGGGCCATCCCGGGCCGGTGCCCTGTCACCATCTCAGTTCCAGGCAGTGGCCTTTGAAATCAAGGCCACCCTGTGTCACCTGATGATCTGCTGTTTAACCTTCAGGTCCTGGCACAGGGATCCCGCGTCCTGCACGCCTCTCCAGCTGGGCCCAACTGCAGCAGGACCCGTGGGCAGGTGGCAGCTGGTGCGCATGCCGTGCCCACCTCACAGGCAAAGACAGGCCACCTCGGGGAGGCCCCCGAAAGCAAGAGGATGTCCACCCTCAGCGCTGCCTGGGCATGTGTGCCCAGTGACCTCCAAACTCTGTGGGTCCTGCAGGCGGCACAGTGGGCAGTGCACACTGCTAAGTCCCTGCCACTCCGGGGGACCTGCCACTCCTGGGGACCTGCCATTCTGGGGGACTTGCCCTCCTACACAGTCCAGGGGCAGAGGGAGGCCACCTCACCCCCTCTCGCTGCTCTCTCTGATGGGGAACTCTGCCTCCCTCTCTCTTTACTTCCTCTCCTCCCAACCCCAGTCCCCACGCTCCCGTGGGCTGCTGCCCTGAACCAGGCCCTGCTGCAGCCCCAGAATTCCACCGTGAACAGCCGGCCCTCAAGGAGGCTGCGGGCCAGGAGGAGACCGGGGCACAGAGATGGCTGTGCACATGGGGACCCGTCCCCACTGTGAAGAACAGGGGGCCGATGGGACACAGGGAGGTCAAGGCCAGCCAGGGAAGGCCTTGCAGGTGTGGAGAGAGAAGTGAGGGCGGAGTAGGCGTGCGATGCCCTTAGCATTGCCCGGGCTGAGGAGGGCAGGGGCCATCACAGAGTGGAGCCCACTCGACCATCCAGGGAAGAGGCAGGAGGCAGCAGAGGCCCAAGGGACGGCGCCAGCCTCACAGGGCCTCAGAAGCCAGGCAGGATCCGGGGTTTGCTGAGCCCTGGCTGGCTGGGGCAGAGGAGCTCCAGGCTCTGACCTGGGCTGGCTGCCTGGTGGATAGGCAGCCAGGACCTAGGCCGGGACCAGGGCAGCCACGGGAGACCAGGAAGAGACCCTGGCACGTAGGTGCATGCTGAGGAAGAAGGTGGATGCTGGGCCTGCAGGGAGGAGCTGGCAGGGATTCCTCATGGATACGGGCAGATGTGAGTGAAAGGAAGCCAGCCAGGATCTGAGATTTGGGGCCTGAGCACCTCGGACAGAGCAGGGGAGCTGGCCTGGGCGGTGGACAAGGGGCCATTGGACTTGGGCATGGGACACGTTGAGCTGCAGACACCCCGGTGGAAAAACAGGGCAGCCCAGCAGGGACGGAGAAGGGACGGTGGAGAGGGGCACCCAGAGGCCTCGAGAGGGAAGGAAGGGTGAAGAGGCCACGCTCAGGAGGAGACGCACCCCCATGCGGAGGTCACGGGGCCCCCAGGGGAGGGGGAGTTGAGCTGGAGTGAAGGAGATTTGTGGGTGAACGGGGAGGGAGTGGGGGCTGTGAGGGCATCGTGCCCCCAGAGGTTTCTATGTGAGATGAGCCAGGGAAAGGCAGGACGGCCAGAGGGGCACGGGGTGGGATGGGAGCTCACTGCCCAGGGACACAGCGGAAGTGGGCAGCTGCCAAGAGGGACAGCCGCGGAGAGGACACCACGGGGGTGAGGCTCATCCAGCTCTGGGGATTTCGGGGTGTGAGGTGAGAGGGTGTGAGAGACGCTGAAAGTTGGGGCGTCGACAGGTGTGGGGTTAAGGTGGGATTGCAGACATCGGGGGCTGGGAATGTGAGGGTTGGGGGACTTGCTTGGTACTGGGGAGAGTGAGGGGTAAAGGCGACAATAATCAAGTGCCCAAGGAAGCCATCGGCTGAGGTGGGCAGAGGACAAGGCCAGGGTAGGAAGGGTCACCCGCAAGGATCACGGAGGAAGACAGGCTTGGCAGGGCCGCTTCCTCAAGGCTGGGATGGGGAGCCATCTGCACAAGGAGGCATCTCTGAGCTCCGAAGCCCTCCTTTCCTGTTCCTAGGCTCATCCACCAAGGACTGGTTCGTTCCCACCGCAGGGCCTTTGCATGTGTTGGCCCCGGCATCTGGAATTCCCCTTCTCCAGATCTCTGTGTCACCAGCTCCTTCTTGTCCTTCAGGTCGAAGCTGAGCCTCACGTCTTTGGGGAAGACTCCCCAGAACTCCCGCTGACACCTGTTCGGGCGCTTCCCGTGCTCTGCGGTTTCCTGAGCTGTTCACATGCTCGCCCCCAGACTCCTTCTAGAAGCCATGCCCGGCCATGCCACCTCTTCCCACTGTGGGACATCCGGATGGCCCCTCCTGAGGGCTTCCTGGCCTCCCTAGAAACCTGAAACGTGCTCTCAGCTCAGACAAAACTGTCCACGGCATGCACCCGGCCCCTCCAGGAGCCCACGCCCGCAGATCACCTCCTCTGGACTTCTCCAGCACCCACAGTGTGTGTCGATGTCACTCAGACTGTGCACACAGGGCCTTGTCTGCTCCTAGCCTGACCCCTCAAGAGAAGCAAGGTCACCCCGATTTACAGGGGGAGGAAACAGGAAGCAGGGGAGAGAGCTCAACACTCAGCAGCACCGGCCCCGGGTGCTCAGTCCACACTGCAGCCTGAACCATGGGTCCCTCGGGCCCACCCTGGACAGCAGCCTGGAAAGACAGAGGAACACAGGGACTAGAATCCCAAGGTCACAGGGCCAAGCACGGAGGACGAGCTCCCAGCTGAGCAGAGGCAACAGCAGGGGTTACTGCAGGCTAAATACATAGGAGACCCGGGCAGGAAGAAATGAGAGCACGCAGGTATCCGTTAGCCAGCGAGGGCGCCCTGCAGGGAGCCGGGCAGCCACACGGACTGGCGGTAGCGGAGGGGCTGCGGGCCTGTTTGCTAACGAGAAGGGCCGGATGGCAGGATCTTCTGGGCCAAGGCACTGTGCGTGTGGAAAGCCGTGACCTGGCTGCCAGCCCCCGCCTTTCCCGTCTTCACCACGGACCCCACGCAGAGAGAAGGGCCTGACTGGGAGACACTGGGGGTGCATGTGCCTCTCTAAGGAAACGCTGCTTCATCTGAAATGGGGCCAGTGGCACCAAACTGAAGGGGGCATTGGGAGGGTCACTGCTTAGGCAGTTGCCCCACCTGGCGGGGCCTTCGGCTACGGCTGGCTGGGTCATCTCAGTCTCCCCAGAGGCCAGGCACACCGTGGGCCTATGGAGATGCCCTGGCACAGAAGTGTGCTTTGCCCTTCACCCACCGGTGGGCAGAGCACACTCACACAGCAACCCTCACGCCTGGTGGGCATCCATGCCAGGCCCGGGCAGGCCTCCTCTCTCACCCTCACTCCCGTTGCCCCCACCTGGAGCCCTCTTCTTCTCCTCTGCCATCCCTCAGCTGTGAACTTGAAGCCCCTCAGTGCCACCTTTGCCATGAGGCCCCCCTGCTTGTGCCCTCTGGATGGCATGGTAGGCTTGGCCAGGGCAGGAGTGGGGCCTCAGCAGTGGACACTGCCTCGGGGCCCTGCAAAGGGTGGGGCGACCACATCCAGCTTGGGCACCCGGCTTCACCTTGGGTGGCAAAGGAGGAGGGTCTGGGCTGGCACAGAAGAGGGGGTGACAGAAGTCACGGTGCCATTACTCCACCGCACTGCTTGGCCCGACAGGCTTCACCGCATCCCCATTCCACAGATGTGGAAACCGAGGCTTGGAGAGCGTCGTGGGCTGACGGTGGCCCCTGGAGCCTGTGACTGGAAACTTCTTTAGAAAGGGGGTCTTCCCAGATGTGGCTAAGTTACTGAGGAGAAGATTGTCAGGATTGTCCACGTGGCCCTAAATCCAATGACAACTGTCCTTAGGAGACACACAGAGGAGAGACACAGGGGGAGGAGAGACACGCGGGGGGAGGAGAGACACGGGGGGAGGAGAGACACGGGGGGAGAGGAGAGACACGGAGGGGAGAGGAGAGACACGGAGGGGAGAGGAGAGACACGGAGGGGAGAGGAGAGACACGGAGGGGAGAGGAGAGACACGGAGGGGAGAGGAGAGACACGGGGAGGAGGAG